CACTCTCTCTCTCTCTCTCTCTCTCTTTTGCCCTCCCCCCCACTGTCTCCGACCCGAGGGCCGCGCGGCTTGGAAGCTGCGAGGGCCTTGGCTCCGTCTCTTTCCGGCTCTCCCCCCCTCACTGTCTCCGAGGCACCTCGCACTCTCTCTCTCCCCACCCCCCAACCCCCTGGCGGCGGCGACGACGTTCCAGAGCGTCCCCTGCGCACGCGCAGGAGATGCTCTGTGACTTTCGGGGGGATTTAAACATCCCCCCAATTTTTTTCCCAAAGGTTTCGCATTTTTGTGCACCCCTGGGGACTGCCCCAAGAGTGCACAAAAATCTCCCTGCCCCCCAAGTCGCCCCGGAGTGCGGATTTAGCGATCCGCACTCACGGGGCGACTTGGCTATTAGTATAAGGATAAGTAGAAATATTGAGAAGTTTGTACTTGTGTACAGAACAAAACACTTGGCATATACAGTAGTAAAGTCTATAGACCTGTTTCCGTCCTTGAAACATGTCCTGAACCATTCTGATATAATACAGCCCTATGACCTTTATAAAAATGCCCTCTGGAATAATTCTGTTGTATGTAGTATGTGGAATAAAGGGATGATAGAGGCAGCCTTCCTTTGACCTTCTACCAAATTTAAACAAGAGATGAGGACCTTCATTAGTGTGAGGTTATCCCCAGTTCTGAGTCAAAGAATCTTGAAAAGGAAATAGATAAAAAGATTGAGTTCCTTGTGTGAAAGCAAGCCTTGCTGTTCTGATGCATGTAGCCAGCTGTCAGTCTCTCTTGGAAAAAGGGTTATATTATGTAATACAGTTCAGTTAGAAGCTCCTCCATACTTTGATGTGGCAGATGAACAAGAACTTTTCTAAATAAGGGGAAATTTGCTCTTATAATATGCTGGCTAGTTAATGGTGCCAGAAAGCCTGCTGATTTCCACATGAGAAGGATTTCCCAGATTTTCCATTCTGGTACCCCTGGGGTAAGCCGTTTTGAGGAATTCATAGTTAACCAGGATATAAATGTAGTAAGTAAATAAATTAAACAGCAGAACTCAACTCCAGAATGTTATTTATTTAAATTGCCATTGGCAGCTATTCCATATTCACTCCTTAATTATAGAAGGATCCTATAGGGAATCATGCTCAGGACCTAAACCCAGTTCTGTTATCCATTCATACAGTCTCTCACCGTATGAGATCATCTACATAGCATCTGGCTCCTTGACATTTTCAGTGAGAGTCATTATTGTCCTTCCTAATGAGCTGACATCTGTCCTTTCACATCCCACTTTTTCGCGAAAGGGGAGGTTTGTGATTTTTACTTCAAAGGTCTTGTGCCTCTGCCTCTGCTCTAGTCCTGTCCTCACTGCTGTATAACCTGTATCTTCCACAGAAGGAGGAATGTCACGCAGTACTTGAAAAACTAAAAGCAGAGTCACAAGAAGAAATCAAACAACTTTGGTATCAGCTGGACAGTGCACGAGCAAGTCGGCAGGAACTAAGTGGTAGGTTTATATTTCTGACAATAAATATTGTTAATTGCAGCCAATTTTTTGTCTGTTTTTGAATTGTAGGACAAGGCGCTGTGTCATTCAGTTATTAGTTAGGCTTAGAGATAAAAGGTCACTGATTGAACTTAATGCCTAGGGATTTGAACCCAGGTCTCAGTTTTGGAACTGTAGTGGTCATTCCACAGTATCATACTAGTTCCCTGAAGATGTATCTTTACTTTAGACAAACTGATTTAACAGTCATTCATTCTTCCCTGGGTGCTGTGGTTTTGTGACAGGGACCCAACAAACTGGTATAGAAATGATACAGATTTGTATTACCGGTATGCTGCAATTCCTTCCTTCCTTTTTTTTTTCTTCTTTCATTTCAAATTTTATTAAAAGAGAAATCAAGTATACATAAACAAGATTGCTGTTTGAACAATAATACAAACTGTCAGTGCAGATACATATTTCACAATGCCACCTATTAATTTGTGAAGAAAAGCAAAATGATTTTCTTTTAGAGGATGTTGAGTTTACATTGTTTTTTTATGAGTTGTTCTAAGGCATCAGTAGTACTGTAAATAGTTCGTTAATTTGGGTTTCAGTCTGTGGATACTGGTTGGTCTCATTTAAGCATCTATGATTTTACTGTATTCTTTTTGCTTGTAGCTGCCTTAAGACCCTGGAGAAAGGCAGGATATAAATATTTTAAGAAATACATGGTTGAAGTGTATTAGCACACTATCAGACTTCTATAATAACCTTTGTAGGTCCAGAACTTTGTTTTACCATAATTACTCAACAATAGCTGATGCTTCACAAAACAAATTTTTGTTGGTGTCTAAAAACTGGAGCTACCAATTCAAAAGATACTGCTGTTTGAGTCCCAGAGGGGTATTATCAGCAGAAGCACCAGTTTTACCTTTGACTGACCTTTTAGAAACCAAAATGAATACAAAATGTACCTTTTGATTCATATCTAATTATATAATCACCTCTATAATACTTTAGTTAAGAATGACTGTGGTTTGCTAGAGGGTATATCTATTCTACATCATAGCTGAATTAACAGTTATTCCCTTTTCTCAGGGAACTCTTGGATCAGTGGGTCTCTGATATGGGCAAGAGATCTCTAAGAGAATTACAAGCAACCTTACAAATGCTATTTCTTGAATTAAGAAGCAAGATCCCACGCAATTCCTTCCTTCCTGAAGCTTTTACTTTTATAGGTTGTAATAAATTCTTTTGAAACTGGCTAGGCACCTAAGAAATCCGAGAGTGTATTTTTTGTAGTAAGCTTTATCTTTGTTTTCTTCTAAATGACCCTGTTTGACATAGTAAAAATGTGTCCTCTTTACCACCACCATCGCTGCGCTCCAGAGTTAAAAGAACAGCTGCTTGCTCGCACATCACACATGGAAGAAATGGAAAACTTGAAGAAAGATTTTCAGACTAAATGGGATAAAAAGAAAAGTGAACATGAAAATGAATTGGAACAATTGAGACTTTACTTTGAAGAGAAATTGAAGATCCTGGAAGGGAACTACAGAGAAGAATTAACAATGCTGCATCAGAAACTGCAAGAAGGAAAAGATGATACTCTGCTGGAGATTGAGAATGAACAAGAGGAACATATGGATATGGGGTAATGCCACAATTTAACAGTATATTGATCTGAAATCTCTTTTCTTCAAATATTAATTGTGAACATGCACCGTCAGCTGTCTTCGTATACAGCCCTATTTGGGCTAATGTTTTTCCTATGTGACTGTGGGCTGTGGTTGCTTGAGCTGAGTTTGTAAATTCAGCTCATAGTCACATCTGTGCCTTTCTTTATTAAAAACATATATCTTTCTGAAATTGTCTTTCCCTCTGCTTAGCCCATGTGTTACACTTTTGGAAGAGATGACTGAAAAAGAGAGACGGGGTCTCTTTGAACAGCTCACCGTGCAACTGGAGCACCACAAGGTAAACGCCTACTAGGCCATATAAAGGTATAGCTTGAAAAGTTATCTACTTTTTTGCCTCTCAGAAGAATTGCTTCTGAACAGTAAGTTTTCTGTATATTTGTCAAGACATTCTCATTAATAACACTGCATGGCTGACTTAAATGCATGTTTGATGTTCTCTGTCCTCCTGTTTAAAATTTTTTATTGCTATTTAGTCAAGCGGTCAGAATGTATATGGCTACCAGGGCTCTTTATGTAGCAGGAACTCCTTTGCGTATTAGGCCACACCCCCTAATGTAGCCAATCCTCCAAGAGCTTACAGAGCTCTTCTTACAGGAGCTACTGTAAGCTCTTGGAGGATTGGCTACATTAGGGGGTGTGGTCTAATACGCAAAGGAGTTCCTGCTACATAAAGAGCCCTGTATGCAGCAATAAGAGTGGTAGACCAAACTGGCCTCACCTTTCCCGTTTCCAGCTGACTGCCTCACCTTTTTTGACTGTCTTGCTTCTTCCTTTATTCTGCCATTTCTTGACCCCTTTGTCTTTCCCCCCTCTTCCTTTCCCTTGCAGCTTAGCTGGATGTACTCCATCGATCCTTATTTCTACCCCAGCTTCCTTTCTAGGCTGCCTGCCGAGCTAATGCATTTCTTCTTAGTTTTTGAAATATCTACTACATTGATATTCCAATATGCCTTTAAACCAAGTGTTTCAATTTTGTTTCGTTTGGGTCCCCTTTCTAAAATACCTTCCAGGATTGTCACCACATTTAAATTCAGGGATTTTAGTTTATCACTGAGTAATAATCATGATTAGTGGTTGTAGATTTTCCGGGCTGCATGGCTGTGGTCGTGGCATCGCAGTACCTGACGTTTTGCCAGCAGCTGTGACTGGCATCCGTAGAGGTATAACATAGAAAGATGGAGTACTCTCTGTGTCAATGATTTATTTGGTAGCACTTCCATAAAATTGTGTTTGATGCATGTCTTTTCCTGCACAATTGCTGCTATGTGTATGGCTTGTGCAGCTGAATATTACAAATTGTTATACGTTGAAAGTTTAAAATGCTTACATTTCCTATATATCGTACTTATGTATCATTTTGGCATATTGGCTTTAGGAAGAACTATCCTGCTTAAAGCTGCATTTGGATAAAAAACACAAAAGTGAGCTAGAGTTGTTGAGCTCTTCTCTCACACTCCAATACCAAGAGAATCTATTGAAGATGAAGATGGATCTCTCTGATAGATACACTCATGAAATTGAAGAATTGAATAGAAAACATTCCTTAAATCTCGAACAACTCCGTGCCAAGCTTTCAGAGGAGCACCTCAGAGGTGAAAAATTAGTAACTTTCAATTGACAAAATGATTTTTATAAGGAAGAGGCTTCCTGTGTGGTGTAAAGTTAAGAGATCATGTTCACGAGGCTTTGCTTTAGATGTGTTCTACTGTCTTTTGCATTTTCCTGTTTGAAAATGTATGTAGCTGTCAAGCTGGTGTTCCTACTTGAATGGTATTCTGAACATGCACACCTGTTTTCATTCCAGTGTCTCAGTCGTCATGGGAGCTACAGCACTGAATTGCATATTGCATTTTCTTCCTCTCTTTGAAATAAGACTGTCAAAAGCCTGGAGAGAGCATGTCCTGTCCCTTTAATAGAGGCTTAATGGAATATTAACTAGGCGGCATTGCTTACCTTCATGCCATGAAAAGCTTCACCTGCCCATTTCCACGCATTAAGCCTCTGTGAAAAGGGCACGACATTTTCCCCTCCAGGTTGTTGGCAAACACTACTTTGAAAACAAATGTGTAGGCTGAGTTCTTATTCGAACATAAAATGCAAAATTGTGCCGTGAGCATGCATAATGAACCTCATTCTAGTATCTCAGTAATGAATTAACCAAAGTGTGAATTAACCAAAGGCTTTGCTACACTCAGCGAGTAAACCTACACATACCAGGGGTCATTTCCTGTAGGAGTGCACAGGAGCAGAGCTCCGGCAGTAAACCCAGGGGGCGGGCACATGCAACAAGCCCCACCCCCTGCTCCCAGCAGCCCTCAGTCAGAGCAAGAAGCAGCCAGGTAAGTTGCAGAGCCCCCTCCTGGCCCCCCGGTCCAAAACAGTCCAGTGGCACCTTTAAGACCAAGTTTTATTCAGGTACAAGCTCTCCCTCCTCTGTGAGGACAGAGCTGCACGTCCCCGTCCCCCCCAATAGCTAGCAATCCAAAACAGTCCAGTGGAGCCTGAGCAGTGGGTGTTACCTTCTGACACAATACTGGTGATGTCAGGGGGTGTGGTGTATGCAAATAAGTTATGCTAATGAGTTATGCTAATGAGCCCCTGCATCTCTTTTTCTACGAAATTACCCGATACATATAAACATACGGCAACACATGTTGTGAGTGAAAGACTACCATGCTTCCAAAAATTCTTGCAGACTCCCTGTCTCTCGCTCAGTTCTCAAACACCAGCTTAAAAATTTGAATCCTGTTTCTCCACACATATTCGATGCAGCGAACAACCAGATTATTTAAAAATGCATCCTGCTGTTACAATGAAAACAGTTAAAATATATCAGACATACAGCAGGAAATATAACATTACATGGATAAGTTTTAGAAGTTCATGAAGTATTTTCCTCCCCGAATTTACAGAAATCATTTTAAGCATTTATACCTGTTGATTTTTTTTAAAGACTTGACTGATGGCTCTTTTATGCTGCAGTATTGCGTTGGGAGCCATGATCTCTAGCAGCAATCTCTGGAGCCAATGGTGTTCTTGAGTTCCTGACTGCTCAGTAGAAACTGTCAGGAGCAGAACATTTCCTCCCCTTCTTGTTTGTTATCCAACATTTTGGTATGGTGGAAGGGTGGGTCTTAAAACTTGTCAGTAGGCTTAGAAATGTTAGACACCTAGAAAGATGTGATTGTAAATTGCATAGAGGCAGACTTTTGCTGAGATGTAGTGTCTTGGTTTGCAGCAGGGATTCTCTATCAGTCTGTTTGCTTGGCTCCATGTTTTATATTGTGCAGACAGCCCGCCCCCCATAGAACTCCTTTTCCTGGTTTTATTTGTCTCTGTACTCCCTTTGTGATCACTAACAGATGCATTTAGCTTTAAAGGAGGATATCTCCCCCATCCAGTTGATGATGGGGAAGAAGAGGGCATTGCTATTCCTTCTCACCCCAGAGTTTCCCATTTCTCTCCCCATTCCTTATTTTGAATCTCAGTTAAATTAATATGAAGTGTCCAGCTTCTCTTGGCTAATGTATTAATGAGACAGAGTTTCTGGTTTCTTGATAGTCCCAAATCTCTCAGTTTTTAAAAAACAAAGGCTGCTCTTCTAAAATAGGAAGCTATTTCATTGTGAAAGCCTAAAAATGATCATGTATAAACTGCATCCACAACATAAATAATAATATAATTTTCCAATCATTGTCATATCTTGTGGAACTTCTTAGAGTTGCTGGGTGTTCCTTGTTTTAATGGCTGCACTCTGTAAAGGCATTCCAACTTCATATCGCTAGAACTTGTCGTCTTTTCTTTTCTCAGCTGCTCACGACAAGCAAAACGATAGTATTCCTACGCTTACTTTCATTCATTCCTTAGGAAAAAGTGAGACTGAACCTGATGCTTTGGAGCTCTTAAGGAAGGATGGGTGTTTTCTCTTACTAGAGCAGTTTACCTTATGAAGCCATGTATTTTGTTTGTTAGCAGTAATATACCATAATCACTATTTGCTCATTTCTTGTTCTAACATTTTCAGCTACTCACTCCAAAGGTCACTTACACAGAATACCCATAATAATATTTAACCCTGTGTTTTAGGTTGCTCTCCCCTTCAGCTTATGCAGGGTGGTTGGTCACTGGTGGTGTGGGAGGAATGGGGCAGGTCTACAGGCAGATCAGTTTTGGGCCTTGTTCTCTCCCCATCTCTTTCTGCAGGATTTACACATTTGAAATCAAGAAATCTTTGTTGCCTTTTACGTAATATCTTAAACTTTGATTTTCTTCTGTTGGAATTGTCAAGGTTTTCTATACCTCCTCATCCTGTCCTTTAAATGTCATTGTCATTTTTAGAAATGACTAAAGTTCGCCTACAAAGTGCTCAAGATGCTGCACGTCAAATAGAAACAGAGGTAAAAGAACGACTCGTAGCGCTGGAAAATGAATACAAAGTTAAATGTGGTGTTCTTGAAGCTGAGAGGGAGTCTGTTTCCAACCAACAAGAAGAAATAGAAAACCTGAGGAGAGAAAATTCTAAATTGAAAGAAATGAGTATACAAGAAGAGCTTCTTTTGAAAGACAAGCTAGAACAGGTTGGTGCAATCTGGAAATATGCTGAAATAAGCAAAGATGGGAAACGCTTGGTTATAGCTAAAGGTATCTTTCCATTCACTGAAGGAGTCCTTATGTAAGCAAAAAGGCTTTTGGATCTAGTCCAGTTTTATTTAGAGTTCTGTCTCAGCTAGAAATGACATGTTTACTTGACTGTTCCATCAAGTTCAATGGTCCATAAACTGCCCTGTAAGATAAGACAGTATTTATTATCTCTGTATTGTGGATGCGGATGTGGGGTGGAGACAACAGGGACCATAGAGGAGCAATCTTAAGCAGGTCTACTCATAAGTAAGTCCTTTTTTATTTAATATTACTCCCAGGAAAGTGTTCTTAGGATTGCGGTCTAGGTCACCTAGTGAGTTAGTGGCTGAAGTGGGCGTTGAACTAGTGATTTTCTGACTCTTGTTTCTTATCCCCTTTAGTAAACTGCTACCCCTCCTGAAGTTGGCCTTTGTGTCTTATGTGTATACAGTTTCTATCTTTTAATCCTGTGTGTGCATTTTTGGGATGGGCCCTTTGCAAACTGTCATAACGCGGGCCTACTTGATTGGGAAGAGGTAGCCTCAATATGAGGTTTAGTGGCCACTCATTATTTCTTTTGGGATAATCACATTGCTGCAAGGCAGTTGTCTGTAACATAACGATCATCAGAAACACAACTACCACATTATAGCAGAACTGGCTATATGACTAAATGAAATTTCCATAGGTGATTTAACATTTTTGCTTAACATTTTTGCTTAATATTCACAGGTTAAATGTAAACTCATTGAAGATCATGTGAATGAATTAAGAAGAGCTAGAGAAGAGGTACGTGAAATAGAAGAAGTTCACAAAGCAAAATCTGAAGAATGGAAACTGAAATGGGAGGACTTGAACAAAAAGACTGAAGAGAAATTACTGGCGTATAAAGAGTGTGAAAACAAGGCAGAATATGAGAAGCAGGCCTTGCAAAAGCAGTTTGAACTTCACGAAGCTGAGATGACTTGCCTTCAAGAGCAGCAGGCTGCTAGAATCACACAGTTAGAGAAATCTCTGACGGAGCAGCAGAACCATGTCCAGCAGCTGGAGGATAATTTAGCAAACACACGGAAGACTTTGGCTCAGTATGAAAGTGAACTAAACTCTGCAAAGGCTCTCATGGTCGCAGAGTTAGAAAAAGCGAAACGTGTGTTCCAAGAGGAATGCGCTGCTAAACTTGAGGATGCACAGAACAGGTTTGTAATGATACATTAGGACCAAGATATGATGATGATGATAATTGATGATGATGATGATGATAAATAGACCAAGCTCAAAGCATGCAGTAAGGCTTTGAAAACCTTTCACTTGAAAATAGCTTTCCTCCTCGTGCAACAAAATGTTTTCAAGCCTGCGTGAGGCTTTCGGAACAGCCTCCCATGAACCTTTAAAGGTTCTGTAGTGTCTGAGGGACTAGATAACATGAACATTCATGAAGCTGCCTTATACTGAATCAGACCGTTGGTCCATCAGGGTCAGTACTGTCCATTCAGACTGACAGTAGATCTTCTTCGTGGTCTCTGTGCTTCACACCAATGGGTTTAGTGCGCCTGCGCTGACCCAACCGGTGCGGTAGCAAGCTATGTTTCAAAGGATTTTCACGCGAGTCCCACTGAGCATGCGCAGGAACCCCAGCACGCATGCCCAGAGGGGACGGGCGCGGAGATCCCGCCAGTTCTCTCTCTACCGCCGCGTTGAAAGGACCTTTTTGCCTTTCCTCCTGACCGGATAGCTATTACTGCCTTCGGACCTTTACCTTATTTCTTGTTTCTTAGGATCATCCTTTATTTTATTTCTTTACTTCAGTTTACTAAAAAAAAAAAAAAAGAAGAAGAAGAAGAAAGAAGAAAAACGAGAACTTTTGTTTTT